GAGGAGAAGATTTTTAAAGTTTTTTCCCCATAAATTTCTATATATAACTTGGATTCCCTATTCGGGCTCCACCCTACCCCCGGGGTCAATCCCGGGTCATTATTTGAACAATTTAGAATCTACACTTCCACATAAGTTTCAGCTTTTCTGGTCCAGTGGTTCTTGAGAAGAAGACTTTGAAAGTTTTTTCCTATATATTTCTATGTAAAACTTGGTTTCCCCTATGTGGCCCCGTCCTACCTCGGGGGTCATGATTTGAACAATGTAGAATCTACCCTACCCCAGGATGCTTCCACATAAGATTCAGCTTTTCTGGCCCAGTAATTGTTGAGATTTTTTAATGACCCCACCCTATTTTTAGGTCACCTGAGTAAACTCAGCTGATCTATTGCTATCCGTTTTCGTTCGTCATGAGTTAATATTTGAGTATTTTCAGCTTCTTCTCCAAAACCACTGAACCAATTTCAACCAAATTTGGCATCTAGCATCTATGGGTGAAGGGGAACAAAAATTTTGATTTTAATGGTCCCTGCCCCCCTGTGGCCTGAGGGAGGGGTCAAACCACTAAAATTAGTACAATCTTTGAAAGTTTCTTCTTCTTTACACCTGGACATCAACCAGTCAAACTGTTTTGTATGATTGTAATCAGCATTGAGTCCTCTACCAAAATTGTGAAATTCATGGCCCCAGGGTCAGGGGTTCTAGTGCTAAGGCGGGGCTAAATAGATTATATAGTGAATATGCATTATTTCTTTGAAAATCTTCTTTTCTGCTCCTGGACATTAAATAAACTAACCAATTGCATAGTTAAGTTGAAAATGACTGCCTCTTCCAAAATTGTGAATTTCATGGCCCCAGGATCAGGGGTTCCAGTGCTAGGGCGGGGCTATATAGATTATATAATGAAAATGCATAAATTCTTTGAAATTCTTCTTTTCTGCTCCTGGGCATTAAATAAACTAAGCAAGTGCACAGTTATGTTGAATAAGACTGCCTCTTTCAAAATTGTGAATCTCATGGCCCCAGGGTCAATGGTTCAAGTGGCAGGACGGGGCTATATAGATAATATCAGGAAAATGCATAAATTCTTTGAAATTCTGTTCGTGGCAATTAAATAAACTAACCAATTGCATAGTTATGTTAAATAAGACTGCCTCTTCCAAAATTGTGAATTTCAGGGCCCCAGGTCCAGGGGTTCTAGTGCTAGGGCTGGGCTTTAAAGATTATATTAGGGAGTTCAGGTAACCCGACTTAGCTGTGTAATTGTGCCATTTACACGCAATTTATTGGTGTTTATAAACGTGATTTTTGCATTTTTTTCATATTTAACTAAAAATTAAATATAATGAATTTGTTCTACATTGTTTGAACTTTCGCATGATGTGCGTGTTATGTCATTCTGAAAAGTTTGTAATAAAAATTAAGCGGGTCGATTTTGTGCTAAAATTGGATGCTGGGTTTCCCCTTTGATGCATGGCACTGTAATTTTGTCTTCGCGACGTTGATAGCGTCATTTTGATTGGCTTTCCGGGAGGCGATTTTTAAGGAATTGACGGCATTGGCCTATCATAGGAAAGCTTACATTTTGAAGATTAACATTGTTATTGTTGCATCTTAATGCATTGTGCAGAAGTTTATGTATTTTCGTTTCAAAGGAAAGAATTCAATTTTACTACGGTAAGTAATCGGAATATTTTTATGCAACATACACTATTAGAAAACTGAGAAAATTTTGCATCTGAATTTTGTGGTTCTGTAATCATTTTTCCACTCAGAAGTCGCCAGCCCGACGCAACTTTTGAACAGTTTCTAACATGTCTAAGTACCTTTAAATTCATGCATACTTTGTTTCGTAAAACCACAAGAGAAAAATGTGAGAGTAATTAATTAATATTAGACTTAATGGAAAAAAAACTATGAAAGCTATGATCATTTCCTAGTACATCATGCTACATATTAACACGAACCTACACTAACGGTCTCTGATATAAATGTACAAATTAGATTCTGTAACCAGGATTTCCTCTGAATTCTTAAATACTGTAGAATAACCCGAAATTCTAATGTGATATAAGATAATGTTTATTTTTTGTTTTAACTATAAATATTTATAATTTTATTTATGAACATGATACTTTGTGGTTATTTTTTTTTCAGTGAGTATATGCAGTTACAGACTTCGGGAAAATGCTAGGATCATTTCATATCATTTTTATGGTACATGCCGGTAGTAGCAGATGTCTGGGATAAACTTAAGGTAGGTAAATACTATTAGAAATAACTGTCAAACAGTTTATTTTTTCTCTCTAATAACTGAAACAACTCTTTAACCAACAAAAAAAACCCATAAAACGTACCTTTGCAGGATTATTTTCATACTACGTGCTAGAGAGCACATATACCCCAAACTTCAAATGCCAATTTTTAACACAAGAAGAAAACATTTCATATTTTATTCAAGTATGCAGCAAAGCACAATGTTTTGTGCTATAATCCATCCAATCTAATAGATAATCAATTACAAAGAGAATTGTTTGAGCAATTCAATTAAAAACATGTAACATTTAACATTTATATTGCTCACATCCATCAGAAAAAAAAACCCACATAATAGCGTTATTTTGAAAAATTCCAAAATTTATATTGTTTACATGCCATTTTTTCTTTAAAAATATCTAGAATAATATCTAAGGTTACCAAAAACACATATTTTATCATGGTTGACCAGAGATATTTTATTAAATCATATCTTGAATACCCCTACCCCCATTTCGGTAATAGCATCTTTTACCATTATATTTTACAAACTTTGAAAAATATTAAAATGTAACAAATAGATCCATTCTCAGAATGAAATACAAATGGAATATTAAAAAATACTGAAATTTGGGTCCTTCTAAACACTTAGAACACATATAGTTTGGGGGGGGGGGGGACCCTTCCCTGTTTTACATTTTTTCCCATACAAGTACAAAATTCTTTTTACAATTTATAATCTCATACATATTAAAAGAACTGATGTAGTTTAACAAAAAATATATGTAGATTCTAGCAAGTATAGCTCATAAACATATAATTTTGTTGTATAAAGATACATGTACTTATTTCGAACTATAAAGAGTTCAAATACTCAACAACTTTGCCAATGATTTTCTGCGACTTTGTTATTCTTGGTGTCTTTGAACCAGATACAACCTCACTAAAGACAGTCTGAATCCCACTATGGGGGTCACGCTTATGTATAAGTTTAAGCTTGTTTAGGCTTAGATTGTTAGCTGTAAGCCTGTTAGAGATCAGTGTAGATACTATATTGCCTTGTACCAATGGAACTAATGAGGACTTTACACTGTAATAATTCATGGTAAATATATCTGAACCTTCACATTTGAATGCTAAATTTGACTCGTACAGTTCGCGTAAACTACAAACATCAGATAGAGCATTGTGTGCATCATAACTTTTCCCAAGACACAATCTGACTAAGGTTTCTTGCTTAAAATTCCCCATTGTTTTCTTGTCGAAAACTTTCTTTGCAAGTTTATATGTATCTAAAAAACCTAAAACATTTTCAACAAATTGTTTAAGTAAACCATGTCTCTGCAAATGATACTGGAGAATTGGAAGATCAAAGTTTTGAATATTGTGTCCAACAATGACTGGTTTTGATTCACAATCTCTAACAAAGTCTACAAACTGGGTCAAACCATCGACTTGACTCGTTGAAGGCACAGGTTCTCCATGAAGAGTGAGCTGTCCCATGTCATATCTGAGACCTGTTGCAGCCGATGCTTCCTTACAGATTGGTACACTGGGGTTCAGATAAACATTGATTGACCTATCTCCACAAACTGCAGCAATCTGTACGATGTCAGATGTTCTACCTGAAAGCAAAATTATAAATGTTTATTTGATACCAAACCTGAAAATTGAAGTATTTATATTTGTTAGTAAAGGTTAAAAAGGTAAAGTGGAAAAAAAATCTTACTAAGTCCGGTAGTTTCTAAATCAAAATACATGAAGCAGCTGCTCTCTGGAGAAATCATAAGGGGCTCTGGATCAATGTTATCAAGATCAACATCCTCCTCAAGACCAATATCTGACTTGTATGATTGTCCTGTGACAAAGAGAGTTCAAGTGAATAATACTGAAATTCCAACAGCAATGGCTTCTCTAAATGTGTGAACAATAAACAATAAATTAAAGTAAAACGTTACACTGATTCAGTTCTATTTTAACTGAAACTCTACCTTCTAGAACATTCCTCGCTGCTTCTTTAGACAATCTGGCGGCTTTTAATTCCAATCGACGTCTCTTGGTGGACGGTAAACTCTGCATGAGACGTTTCCGTTTGAGCTTGTTGGCAAGTCTGATGGTATGCTTCATTGTGAAATTGCCAGGTGACAATGCCATTTTCTTGTTCAGCTGTAAGATATAATTTATGTTTTAGTAAATATTTTCATTTTGTGATTGTTCCATATTCAAATAAAATGGTAAATTGGTTAATAAGAATAGGGATAAATTTTGAATGTGAATTTCTTAAGAAATCCATCCTCTAGGTACTTTATGTACATGTTTATGCAGATAAACATGATTGTAAAACATCTTACTAAAGACTATTTGTTTTTATAATTTACAACATTTATTGTGGAAAACTATTAAAATCAAAAATATACTTTAAGAACACTAAATACAAATGCAAATAACATTTTATGGTTTGCCATAAAAAGAAAGAAAACATAACACATAACAACAAACTGTAATGAAAAACAAATTTCAAAAATGATCAACTTGAAACTTTCAACACATTTTTCTACCTCTGATATGTAACCGTAACTCATATTCTTTTGGCAAACAGTAGCTGAGAGTCTAGCATGTAGACTCTCTGAACCTCCATAAAACCTAACAACACATTTTTTGGACTTTGAATCTCACATTTCAGACTCAATTGTTAAGATCATATCCAGAACTGTTGTTCTAAACAGAAGAAATAACCAAAGTTCTTACAATCTTTTTGGGGCTTTAGTGGAGACCATATGGTTAAAGTTCTCATTGACTTGGGTGGATCCCATCATGGCCAGCTCCTCTGACTTACAGCAGTATTTCTTGAATAAAGCTTCTAAAGCTTCTCGGAGTAAGGTGCAGGATAGAGGCTTTCCATATGGCAAATTTCGAGGCTTATAGTCAGTCTTTTTACTGCGACACCAAGTTCCACAGCATTCGTGTTCACCTTAAAAAAAAGATCTGGTTCAAATGTTTTCATTCTTCATTCCTAATCTTCATTCCTAATTTTGTAATGACTTCTATATTGTTGATACTCTTACCATATAAATGTGGAACAATTTTGCCAAGTTCATTTTCAAGATCTTTAGCCTTGCCCCTGTTTTGCTGTACACAATACGTAAAACATCTAAAACAGAAGGGAAAAGACACTTATTTTTTAAAATAATAAGCCATAACATTTATAATTATGTGTAACAAGTTTTTTTGGACTACAGTTGACCAAGGGATATTGTACTGAAATATTACACTTCAGAAACACAAACCTTTCAATGTGACTTCTAAGTTTTTGATTTTTCAAAACTTTATGGGTGTTGGCAAGCTCAATCAAAGCTCCAGTAAAACCTTTTCTTGTATGGTTTTTGTCAGCTCTTTTATTAATGGTTGGGTCCACAGTGGCTTTTACGTGAGCAATGGTTGTTGAGTCATTGTCCATGACTAAAGTTCCTATCTGTGAAATACATTGGAAATTTGTACTTCAGTTAAAAAGCAATGTTTTAAATATACATGTATATTATGGTACTAAACTGTACATCCATATTTGACATTACTGCTGATAAAAATTAAACATTCAATAAAAAGCTACCTTGCACCCTTCATCTTTGATTGCACTCAGCATTTCACAGGCCATGGCCGGCTCCATTGCTTTTGCCGATCCCTGCCAATTCTTTCGGCAGTTGTGTTTTCTGGGTGGAACTCCTTTAGCTGTTGCAGCTGAGCAGATTCTGCATTTTTTACTCTTTGAAGAGAAACTTACTATCTTTTTAGTTTTTTCTCCTACTAGAGATGCGTGACCTGTAACAAGATAAATACTGCTAGCATATAGCTACATTTACATGTACATGTATTAGAATATGTAACTCTATATCTCAATCTTTATTGAGGAGGGAGAATCAAAACATGCAACAATAACATTATCACCAGGGCATACCAGTGAGACTATTGTATCCTCTACCAGTACCTCTCTTCTGCCAGGCACCATCAAAAGACACAGTGATGTCTCCATCATTCCTACAAAATGAATAACACAAATGTGCAATTACATGTATTATCAAATATAATTAACATGTAAATTCAAAACATAATTTATATATCAATACAAACAAAATAAATAAAAAAAATTACAGTTTCATTTCTTCTTGAAGAACTTCATTACAACTCTGCCCTGCCATTTCCTCTAACTGTTTCCCCACCTCTCTTTCTCTGCTTTTAAGACTCTTGTTAGTGATCCCCGGGATATTCAATGCAGCCAGTAATGCATTTACATGAGTAATTCCATAACCACCATTTAGCATACCTAAGAGATTATTACCAGAAATAAAATGAAAATAAAATAATTCTTTTACATTTTAACTTCTGTATTATTAGTATTAAATTATTTTTATCTGCTTATTTGCAAGTCTAGATAAAATTTCTAATTTATACCTGCAGCCAGCTTTGTGTTGACATCCCAAGCATATTGCTTCATATCTGCTTTAACCCTATGTTTACTGCCCGTGGGTATGTCGTTAACATGGGCACAACTGGAATGCGTGCACTTTATCTGCAGAACCTGCAATTGACCAAAAGTTAACTGAAAGTGAAGGGGAATGCCGCATCTTTAAAAACGAATTTTTTAGGTACATAGTCATTGACAATATTTAATAAAAATAAATACCTGTCCTAGTCCAAATTTCCTTTCACCTACAGTGTTGACAAGCTGAAGTGCATTCCCACACATAACGCAACCTCTTTTCAAATTATCAACAAGAGTGCCGAGTTCTACAATCCGTCTACCGACACGCCATGAACTCTCTGCACTTTCTGCACTTTGACCATTAACGGTTCGTAGGACAGAGGAAGAATCATTTTCCAAGCACGGAGCATCATTTTTGGCATCTAATATTTACAAAATAAATGAATCTAATGATCGAATCTTTTGATACGTATTCCAACTGTCAAAAATAGAGCAGAACGCTCGCACAATACAGACACTTAGTACTTACCATGTTTACCTCGTAAGGCATGGGCTTCTCTTGCTTCTCGTGCTTTCTTTAGCCCCTCAAGTCTGCGCAGGAACGAAGCTTTCCTGAATGTCCCTTTTTCAGACCGGGGCATCGTTGCATTTGTTTTCAATCACAAGAATTTTACGTTAAATCAAACCACCGAAAAATTTGCGCCAAGTCCAAGTGATAACCGGAAGTCTGATGTCGGTGTATAAAATTTAAAACCGGAAACGAAAAAGTATGGCCTTGCCTTAACATTCAACTTGTCCAGAAAGCATGGATAATTTAGACTGAAACTATAGAATTATTGATACCGGAAATTTGATATCATGTATTTTAAAGATCTATATAAACAGGGGTTCAAAATTCCTCAAGCCCGACGTCCCGGACTAACAAATTCCGGATCCGAACTCGGATTTAGAATTCGCCAAAGTCCTGGGACTTGTCTATTTTTCTTGTTTATCTTTTTTTTTTAAGTTAAAAATATGATCGTAAAGGTAAAAATATATCAAATTCTCAAATGTATTAAGTAAAAATGTGGGTTTTGGGGCGTTAAAATACCCATCGAAAATACAATCCGTCTTTTTATTTTCCGTTGCGGTTAGACTCTTGCTTTTACGCAATTCCTCATGTTTCTTCCTATATGACAAACGGCAATGAGTTTGTTAAATATTTCGGTTTTACGAGCAGTAATGCTAAAAAAAGAACGACAAATAAAAGACCCCGTGAGGAACAGGAAGCAGGGGATCAAAATAATTGTAATGTACCAATAATCTATCATTCTGGTATTGTGTTGAAATACTCATGTATGACTGTATGACAGTTTATGGAGGAAAAATAAAACATTTATTAATACATATAGTCTTTATTCATTCAATGCAACAAATGAAAATAAATTATAAGCAACATAAATTTAAGGATGTATAGGTAAATATGGACTCTGAAATTTCTTCCTCGGACTTGCCCAAAATTTACTCTTTAAATTTTAGATTCGTAAAAGGAATCTGTCCGCCATTTTTGTTCCCGAGTCTCGCTACTCTGCAGACCCCTATAAATAGGGCAAAACTTAGTCACTGTTCAGTGCAATCAATCGACACCGGCGAAGACGGACGTATGCTATACAGAACTCGGTAGCGAGAATAATAACGTAATACTTCGTCTAATGCAGGAAAAGAAGATACCAAATGAGTTTACAAATATAGTTGTATAAGTCAGTGCAGTATACAAACAACACAGATAAACGTAACTGCAATAAAATATAAGCAAAGGTAATGCAAGATAACCAGCACAAACACGGATCGCCATTCCACGCCGATACAAGTGACAATAAAGCAGTCAGGTGTAACGAATGCGACGAGTATACCTAGTATTGATGTATCGTAGATAATGCAATCGAAAATGGCGTGTGCCTATTTACGAGTCGTGTTCAGCTTTAAGTCCTGGACTTGACCATGACAAAAAAAAATTTGAACCCCTGATATAAATTTAAAATAAAGTTGTGAATTTTCTGTAGTAAATTCTTTTTCTCTCCAATCTTTGCCAGTTTTATAATATTGACTTTTTTCTTCTTTGCGATGTCCAGACAGAACTCTGACTTTTAGTGACCATATTTGATTAAGATCACTATTTTTATAAATCTTTTATAAGTAATAATTTGTAAAGAATTAATAAAATTTCATTATTTATTCCTAGTTTACATGATTTTGAAAGCATTTTATCACTTAGACTGTGTCGACCATTTTGACTACCGGCGGCCATATTGGATATTTTGCCGCCATCTTAGATATTTTTAAACTGGCGTGGAAACAGAAAATTAGGGCTTGCATAGACCTCTCCAAAAATATATAGTTTACCATATTTCCAAATAAAATTAGACTCTATCCTTTAAAAGTTACTTAGATTTAACAGATTTTTCTTCCTTTCATGTGCCATCATATAGTGCTCTCATATAGTTAAATTTCCTTATATAAAACAGCAGTACTCACAACATTGATAATTTCATAACTTCAGTTCTACTTAACCGTGTATAGGGGCACATATGGGGTTTCGGTTAAGCAACATATGGGGTTTCAACTCCGAAGCGGGTGTTTATAGCATGATGCAGATATTTTAGTAGAAATTCTTAGATAATGAATTCCTAGGGGCCAAAAGACATGCGCACGGGTTGTAAGAACGTATTAGCTTCCAATTTAGTGCAAAAGTCTGTTTGAAAGCTTTATGGATTTTGCTAACACTTCTGGACAGTTCGGCCGAATCGAAAAAGTTACGGTTTCGATGACATTCTTTGCTCTTTAATTTAAAAAAAAACGGCCGTTTTTAGTTCATTTTAAGGGTGTTAGAAAAAGAATGATACAAAAACAATACATGTAGACATTTGTTTTCTTTTAACAATAATAATTTATGTTAGAAATGAACACTTTTGTGACAAAATTTCGATGTGCCTAACGGGGTTTCAAGGATTGTTGTTAACATATGGGGTTTCAACTCAAGGCATTTTTTTTCTATTCTCTTTATCCTTTCAGATTATTTAAGCGCAAAATGGTTAGAAAAAAGGGAAATCTTTGGCTTTCAAAGCCGAAAAGAAAGAGACACGATCGGAGTGGAATTATAATTTGCGCACTTAACGAGGCTTTTTCAAAAAAGCGACCATTGGGGCTTACACCAGTTAAAGTAAGAACTCCAAAGCGAGCAAGATGTTTCTCCCCTATGTCAATTGGAATAAAATCAATAGAAAAAGACTCTCCATTGTCTTCAACTATGTCTCCCGTTGAAAATATTTTTGAAGAAAACATTAAAGATGTTATGAATAAGTTAAAGGAGTACAATTTAGACAATGATTTCAGTACTTTTCTAAACATTTCCCTGAGATTGTTTCTAGATACTGTGCGCTTTTTATCATTGAAACACCATTCCTTCATGAAATATTCTAATGTCTCTAAACGCTTTTGGAAAGCTGGATACAGACTTTTTCATGCTTTCTTTACTTTATGAATGGGATGAAAAACGACACTGATTCAAGTTCAGCAGTTTGTATCAATTTTGCAGTTCCAAGCATGAATACCATCTCGAATTTTAATATCAGCGATATTGAAATTCCAAAATCATTACAACCCGGGGTACTTCTGCCTGTTTTGACCACTTTGAAGTTTGGGAAAGACAAAGAATTTATGCTTTGTGCAGACGGCAAAAAAGTAACTTCTGGTATTGATGCAAAAGGCGGAGACGTAGATATGTTTACATTTGAAAATGGTGAGACTTTAGAAAAACGAAAATTCGATTTAGATTCGCAAAATAACGTTCTTATATCAGTTTGTGATATTTTTAATGAAGTGAATAGACTGGAGGAAATTCTGTCACTTAGTGAGTCAATTCAGAAAAAAATGGTAATTAACTTGAAAGAAGTTGTTACAATACTTGGTTCTCGGTTGAAGGACTGCAGAGAGATTGCCGGAAGGCAAAGAATGGGTATGGAAAAATTTAAGAAATTGGCTGGTGACAACTGGAGAGAATCACGCTATATATTTGTGATAAGTGGATTGCAAGCTTCTAGAGAATTTGTTATAGAGGCCTTGCAGTTCAATGAGCTTTGTTTGCGAGTTGCAACACTCCCAATATGACTATGTGAGAGGAGAGTCTGTAGATCTGTCTTACCAGAGCAATATATTGTCTCTTACTGATACGATAATGAGTAACGCAACAAATGTTGTAGTTGAACCCCAGTACATCAAACAAAAGTCAGCAATTTGGCAGGAACTGAGACAAGGTGCTCGCTATACCGGCAGTACTCTCCACTCTGCTATTGGTTTACGAGGACTAAAACAACAGAGATTGCATTTCAACAATTTTTTTGAAAAACAAGAGGCCCATGGGCCTTATAGGTCACCTGAGCATTATTCAACAATTTTCCAGTGATTGAATTTGATCCATGTTTTAAGCCAGATACTATAGCATTTAAAATTTGGTCATCATAACTATACACTTAGCAGTTCCTTTGTTTGGTTACTTAATACCCATAGGCAGGGTAGGGGAACAAAAAATGCATTTCAACAAATCAGTAATATTCAGCAATAATCAGTAGTGCCGCTACCACACATTAACCCTTGACTCTAAGGCCTAGATCCACACATTGAACAATTTTTGGAAAGGCATCCTTGCTTTACAAAATTATTTGATTAATACCAAGGGGCACATTTCAAACAATTCATTCATTTTCAGTATATAAGTACACCCCCCCTCCCTCTATGGTACAACTGACCCTGGGGCCTTGAAATTTACAATTCGTGAGGATTAGAGCCCTTGCTCATAAACTATATAGGTAGTTCATCTGCTTAAAACCCAAGAGCAAAGAAGAAAATATTCAAATATTTAATGTTTTTTCAATATACATGTATAATCAATAAAGCCCCGCCCTAACACCAGAGTCCCTGATCCTGGGGCCATAAAATTCACAACATTGGCAGAGGCACTCTTTCTCATCATAAGTATGCACTTAGTTAGTCTATTCAATACCTAGGAGCAGAGAAGAAGATTTTCAAAGAATTCAGAGCCCCCCCCACACCAGAATACCTGACCCTGGGGCCATAAAATTCACAATTTTTGTAGAGGCACTCATGCTCATCATAAGTATGCATTTAGTTAGTCTATTTAATACTCAGGAGCAGAGAAGAAGATTTTCAAAAAATTCATTTACTTTCACTATATAATCAATAGAGCCCCGCCCTAACATCAGAACCCCAGACCCTGGGGCCATAAAATTCACAATTTTGGTAGAGGCACTCATGCTCATCATAACTATGTGTTTACTTTATTCATTTAATACCCAGGAGCAGAGAAGAAGATTTTCAAAGAATAAATGCATTTCACTATATGATCAATAGAGCCCCGCCCTAAGACGAGAACCCCTGACCCTGGGGCCATAAAATTCACAATTTTGGTAGAGGCACTCTTGCTCATCATAACAATGTACTTTGTTAGTTTATTTAATACCCAGGAGCAGAGAAGAAGATTTTCAAAGAAATAATGCATTTTCACTATATAATCAATAGAGCCCCGCCCTAGCACAAGAATCCCTGACCCCAAGGCCATGAATTTCACAATTTTGGTAGAGGACTCAACGCTGATTACAATCATGCAAACAGTTTGACTGCTTGATGTCCAGGAGTAAAGAAGAAGATTTTTAAAGATTGCATTGATTTTAATGGTTTTGGCCCCACCCCC